CGCCTGCACAGCTGCCCACTGACTTCTGGACAACACGAGCCGCCAGCTCATGTGATTGTCGTAATCATCTAAATTCCTGAAGTCAACTATTATTGGCGACCTGAACACAAACCTTAAAGACTGATCCCAATCCAAAAATAACGTGCGACGTTGGTCCAGCACAACGCTGAAGATCCCACCCGCCTCCCTGCGGAGTTTCGAACTTCTTTTTGTCTTTCTTGAGGCCGAGCAATCCTTTGGATTCGATAAACATGGGTGGCTTCAAATCGCCTTGCACTCTCTTGCTAGGCAGCACAAGGCCCACATATCTCGTGACAGGATGGGGGAGGCAACCGGGCACCGAAATTTGATGCAGTACTTTGGAATCGAAATAAACTCTGAAAAAAAAGGCAAAACGCTCGAAACGCGCAAGACGGCGCTGAAATGTGATGAAGTTTTCTGGAATCAAAATAAAACCTGCAGAAGCAACGCAAATCAAAACGCGCAAACGGCCCTGAGATGTGATGCAGCATTTTGAAATCAAAACAAACGCTGAATTACACAACGCAAAATGCTCGAAATGCGCAGGACCCAAGTGCACCCCCACCACCACTGCCACACCCTCTCCCCGCAATGCCGCGCCGCCGGCCGAATAGGCACCCGCCCACCGGCTGCGCGGCACCTGCCGTCCGCCGTCGCAGCGTCTGACCCACGCCTGGCAGTGGCCGCGGGCACCTCCCCCATTCGTACCCATCCCGGGCCCCCAAAAGTGGGCGCCTATCTTCCCCACCCCCCACCCCCACCCACCCCGGCCGGTCCAACGCACGAGGTCACGGGGGAGGCGCCCGACCCCGCCGCCGGCGGCATCTTCCGATCGGCTCCGGTCGGCTGGAGCTCGCGGAAGAATCGCATTTATGCCCGCCGGCGTCTGAGGGCGTCGATCGGGCCTTTCCGATCCTTGACTTCAGCGGCAGAGGGCTCGGGAGGAGGAGGAGGGGGAGATTTAGGTTCTCGAGGCGCGGGCGCGTGCCCGGCGCCCGGGGCTGTAGGGAGGGCCGCGGCGCGGTGGATGTGGTGGCCCGATGGGCTGCGGGCACAGCGCGCCCGCCGCGAGGGACGGATCGGCGGACGGCGGGGCGCGCGGGCCGGGCGCCAAGGGCGGGGATCCGGCGGCGAGGTGGGGCCAAAGAGATTGCTCGAAAGACTATGACGGAAAGGTTGTGAGCGGAAAACTTTGGTTGGATTTTGGTGAAGGAGGGCGATCAAGCGGCGGCCGTTTTTCTAGGGGCAGAGAGAGTGTGATTGAAAAATTTGGGTGGGGGGTGGGGTGGGGACTCAGCCATCTGACGCGGAGTGGAGCTGAGGCGAGTTGCGCGGGGAAGGGGTTGGTTCTGGCCAAAGCGAGAGGGATTGGGGTTGAGGGGAGGAGTGTGTGTGCTGGGGGGAAAAGGGTGACAGCCCAGCAGAGGCTGGAGCATCGCTCTCGGCGTTTGGAGCGGCGGCGGCGGCGGCGCAGGGACGCGGGTAGGCGCGCGGGGCGCCTGATTGGCGCAGCGGGCTCGATCGATGGAGCGGCTGCGCTGATGCGGTCGAGCGGCCGCTTGGGCAGTCGTTGCACCGGCGAACAACTGCGGGCGAGACAACTCCGCGCGCGGCTGAGAACCGCGCTCTTCCTCTGCCTCTCCTTCCTTCCCTTTTCGAGGGCCTATGCGTGCGCATCTCGGCGCCGATGGAGTCGATCGAGCCGCGCGGAGCCCGCGCCTGCGCGGCTGACTCGCGCTCCCGACTGCCAACCCGGTTGCCTGTAATCGGGCGCAGGAACCCGGTGCAGAGCCCCAAACACAAGGCGAAGCATACCAGAGGCCCGCTGGATCAACAGGAGCTCGCCGCCAAGCATGAGCTGGTGAGTTTCCTGGGCGGCAGTCGCGGGGCGCGCTCCGTCGATCGCCACCGTCGGCGTCAACGAATCGCAGCTGGGCGCCCACCAGTGGACAGCGCCGGCCCTTGCGAGTCGGGTTGTGCTCTGTGGGCCAACTTGCGGATCACTCAGGGCGGCAGGGGGCCATGCAACTCTCTGGTGTCGGTGGTCATTGTCGGCTGCCCACAGCGGACGCCATTCGCGGACGCCCAGAGGCGACGGAGCGCAGCTGTTCCGGCGCCTTGGAAGGGATGTGCTGGCCAAAACTAGGCACGTTGTCTTTGATTGAGTTCACGACACCGGGAATTGGGCTGGCAGTTGTCCTGGGAGCCCGAAAGTCCATCTGCATATTTGTATTCCACCTCGCAAGACGACCAAGATGGGTGTTCTGATGGGCGACAATAGCCAACCGGCGGCACTTCGTCTTGTGGAGGCAAGCGCAACACAAGCAATTTGGTGGCAGGAGCAGTCGCATCTGGGTGGCCATGCGGTGTTTGCTTTTCCAACACAGTGGTGGTCGAGGTGCAGCAGAGCAGCAGAATGGTGCTGTTGCCTGCCCATCCAAAAACCTTGATCAACGCAAATAGGGCGCCCTGATCACTTTTGTGCCCTCATTCAGCACTCAGCCAGCTGATGGACCATGGGGTGTGATGTCAAACCCATGCCTCTGCTGTCTGATGCTGTTGAGCCTCATTCAGTCACTACAACAGTTCTTGACAATTTGGCAAGAAAGCTTCCTTAAGGCAGTGATGGTCGGATGCAGAATCCATCTTCTTGTCACAAAACTTGCTCTGCACTGGGATTTTGAGCCACTCACAATGTTATTCATAACACAGGTTGCAGGGGTTTTGTTGAGACTGTAGCAGGTTGTAGACTGTAGAGGATTGCTTACTGAGACAATACAACTGTGTGTGCACAAAAGGCTGATGGTTATGAACAGGCATCAGGATCACCCGACATTGGCTCAGCAGTCAGTCAGCAGGGTGATCTGGAGGCTAACGAAGACAAGTGGGATGACAGGGTGAAGAAAGAACGCCGACTAGGTTTTGGAATGGAGGTAAGCATGGGTTGTATATGCCTGATGCTCGTGTTTTAACTCAATATCAATGGCCATGGTACTTGAGCTGAAGACTGGTAGCAGTCCATCTGTGTGGAAGTTTCGATTTTCAGGCATGTTGCCTCTAGGTGCATGCTACTGCTGCTTAGTACAAAGAAATTTTAAATCGAGAATCCTCTTGTCCTGCAGAGGACATGAGCCAACTCCAGCATCGATTGTCATTGTTTGCGCCAAAAATGTACAAACACTGGCGTTTGTTTCCTTTGATGTTCCAGGGACAATGTCACTTGCGCCAAGCAAGCGCCAAGCACTCAGATCCAATTTTACTTGCTGTGCACATGGGCATTTTGCCTGCAAATGCAACACAAGTAACACAGAGCAGCTGGCAGCATGTACAGCAAGACTTTGGCGTTCAGGGTACCCAGTGTCCAGATGCATCATGCAGCTGTGCTCATATAAGTCTATTGGACAGCCTGAACAATCACATGGACATCGCCTCGAGTGGCTTTATGTGGAACGGCCCCAAATCGCTTCCACACCAATGCTTTGGTCATCTGGCGCTATCTCCATCTGCAAATTGTCGTCGTTGTGGTAGAGTGCTGTGCCATCATAGTGCTGTTGGTGTTGTTTCTTTTTTCATGGCAATGCCTGCACCACACTAAGAGCCCAGGAGCCACCCTTGTCCAAGCAAAAGGTACTGTTCAAGCGGCAAAGGCTGTGGCAGCAGCGTACATATGGGTACACCAGGGAATCCACCTTGTGTTGCAGTCTGCGTGCCGGGATCGTCGGCTTTCTGGCAGTTATTGCAGTCTGGGCCCATATTCCTAAAAAGCCTGCAGGTGCAGCAAAACAGCCTCAGCACTAATGCACAGTATCAATGCTGTCTCATGCCTGATATGGAGAGTCATGTCCTTGACTTCGTGCTAAAGCCATCACTAACCTGGAAGATTTCGCAGCGCGTTCGATTGCATTCGCAGGCGTCAACAAAGCCAATCCTAATCTGAAAGGCTTTTGTACCACAGGTTGTTAGGGAGCAGCTGAGACGCATGGCCGTTGGGGGGCCGCAGACAGAAGCTGACAGAGCAAAGATTTATGAGGTCAGCTCATCGGACAACAGTGACAACGACGGCCAAGAGCTGGAAAGGCAAGTTCTTTCCATTTCATGCCAGGGCTCTGTCGCTGCTCATCAACAGCAGAATGCACAGGTTGCTCCTGGATAGACTTGATGTAGACAGCACAGGTGCCAAACAGGCGGTGGGTTGCATGATTGTGGATGCATTGGGGCTCAAGCAGCGTGAGGAAGAAACACGATGTTCCTAGGTGTTGATGCTCCACCCATCTGATTACCAAAAACAATAACTCAGGCACAGACTGGGCACAGTCATCTTGGAGAAACAGCTGCCCACGACAGCCAGATTGTTGCCATGGATATGTCATGCCACAGGTTCTTTGACCGCATGCGTTTACGTACGTCAACTATCAATTGCTTTTAAAGATATGATGGGTGTGCTGTGCATTTTCAGTGCACCATCCCACACTGCTCATGTGAATGGCATGCTACAGAACAGTTCAGAAAGTACAATGCTGGATCATGTGATGGCAAAGGCTGTTGAGTGGGGCTTTACAAGTTGTCAGTGCCACACTGCCCATTCCCACACTGTCTAATTACCAATGCTGTGGTCCCCTGTCTCACTCCTGTTGATGTGAATGGGTGTTGGCGCCCGCGTGGCACTGGTGACTGCACGATGTCTCTGATCTGCACCAAAACTTTTTGTCGAAATCGGCAATATGCTTTGGGATAAAAACTAAGTCAGTTGGACATACTTGATTTCAGTCTCGAGTTACAGAAGCTCATTGCTGGCACTTAGTGTCGTATACTCTTTGCCTACTTGTTGGCCATGTCCCTGCTGATCTGCACTTGGCAGTCGAGAAATAGCTGCTTGGCTTTGAGGCAAGAGCTGTGTCACCTCGCCCCAGCCATAGCACAGTCAATTTGGCACCGTCAGCCCAAATGACATGGTTTCAGCCGTGAGGGGGCAGAGCCAAAGCATAAGCTCCCCACCATCTGAAAAAAGGATTTATGCACAAAAAGAAAGCAAGAAAACACCTTGCCACCTTGAATCTTCACTCGTGAGACAATAGCTGTCTGTTCAATTTCTTATTGCATGCTTGTCCTTTGTTTGGCAGCAAGAATTGCCCTTTGACAATGAGGGTACAAGGCTTTGTCTTCAGCATTTCGGTCTTGTTCATAGCTTGCTAGAGTGCATCTTGCTGTCAGACAGGTCACGAGATAAGTATCAATGACTAGAATCATGTCTATGCTTTTGAACAGATTCCTGTAATACACTCTTCCATGCTCAGAATGAATGCAGCATCCAAAGCAGGGCGCAGTATTTTGCTTGCAAGCTGTTAGTCATTTGGTCATTAAGGTGTTCAGAATTTGATTTGGGGCTTCAGGGCAGAGCTCGCAGTTTCGACCAACAGCCAGCCTCGTTAGTGTAAATTCGCTGAATGCACAATCACAGGCAACAAGAAAACGACACACTGGACATAGCACATGGCCCATACTTTAGGGAATCAGGCAGGAGTCTTACTCAAAGCAGGTAAAGAGGCATTTAGCTTCAGGTTCAGGTTGTGTCACCCAAGGGCCTGCAAATGTCTGCTTTGCCAAGTTCACCACTTTGGGTCTTATGCTACGAAACGTTAAACATGCAACACATGTACTAACCTTTCTTTAGCAGAAGCTGTCAGCAGGGCTTTCCACGCTGTGAAAGGCGTCTTGCATTCGCAGGTCTATTACCCTGAGCAGGAACGAAGTTGTGTGGAAGCCAGAGAACACTGTGAGCACTATCTGTGGCGCCCTCAAGGACAACCAAGTCTTCCACGGAATGGCAGATTCACTGGTGCAGATGGTAAGGCACACTCCTTCAAGACAAATATGTCGCTAAAGCACCCTAGTGCTGTTGTGCATCTGTGTGCCCCTGGTGCAGAGTACGATCAATGGGCTACAATGCGCTGATGTGCACACCACATACAATGCAGTACACAGTGCAGTATGCCGCACAGAACATACACAGTACTCCACAGTGTATGGTATGGCAGTGTAGCAGGTGAAGTCCCAAGCTCCTCTCCACCA